TTTTAATTTGGTTTTAATTAATATATTAAAATAACTTTTATTAAATAACTTCAAATAATGTGAAATTATAATATAATTCTATTTTCTTTCGATCAGATTATATCACTTAAATAAATTTTCAATTCTCCATTTATAAATCATAGTTAGAGAAAAATATTAACAATTCTCTGAATCAGAGAATAAAATTATGAATAAAATATATATATGAGGAAATAATTTATTTTTGGAATTTTAATTACAAAATTTAATATATGATTTTTATTTAAATAAAAAATGCTCTTAATATAATAACTTTAATAACCTTAATAATATTTAAAAAATTTTTTAATATCAATATTCATAAAAGAAAGTATAGATTTATAAAAAAAAAAAATAAACAAATAATATAAAATTGGCATAACGAAAGCTCATATCGTTCGAAAATAGCAGGAAAATTTATATTATAAAAACAAATAATTCCGCACAAAGACATTTATATAAATCCTTTTATATTTTGATAATTTATTTAATCGTGTTATTTATTCTCGAATATATAGGGCACATTTATGATGGAACTCTACTCTCTCCCTATATGTATCTGCGTGTGTTCATGCGATGCGTGGCGTGTGCGTGTATTCGTGCGATGCGAGGCGTATGTGTATGTTCGTGCAGTGCGTGCACGTGTGTGTGACGTGTGTGCGTGTGTGCGTGTGTATGCATGTATGTATGCGTCTTTTTCGAGTGGTTAAATAATAATAGCCATTTCTCATGAAATTCGAGCAAAAATAATGTCATAATTTGCAAACAGCCACCAGTCAGAAACGTTTACGCACAAATTATTCATCCATGAATTGTTTGATCAGCATTCGTCGATCGATCGAAGCGTAGAAAATAAACTCTTCGCGGGTAGATTGAATTGGAAAGTTTCAGGTACATTTCGTTGAAATATTATATTACGATCATCGTATAATATATTTTAGAAAAGATTATTCGTTATACAAAAAAATTATATTTAAAATATTTTTAATAAAAAATCTGATCCATCTTCTGTTAGATGTTTTTTAATAATAATGTATTTGTGATTCAAGATTTTGTAGAATGCATATCAATGATAAAAGAGCAAAAAAGAGATTTTAAAGGATCTAAAACATTTTCTATTGTAACAGTCTATTGAAAACGAATTTATTATTTTGGAAAAATCTGGTGAAACGATTTAAAGAACTTGAGGAATTATCAGACATATTTATAATTTAGAAATTTTCTTAAAAAAAATTTCTTGAAATATATTTCCTTAATTTTACGATTTTCAATCAAATTTGATTAATAAGAGAAGCTTAACATCTGTGATCATTAATCGAAATTTTTTGTTTTATTATTTCTTATTCATCTTCATTTTTATTTAAAGAAACTTTGTCTGTATTGCAGCTATCTTGGATTATAGACAGAAAATTTTACTCGAGAATAGATTTTTAAATAAAACTACGTATGACGAGAAATAAGATAATAGATAACGACATGGTACTTTTAAAAGTTGTTCTCTCATTCAACTTTTTTTCATGAGTGAAAAAGAACTTTTTTTCATGAGTGAATCTCGTCTCTCGAGTAACTCTCAATCAAGTTTTAACTTCTATACACATGCATTCTCAATTTTTATTTTTGCATATGCATATTCTTTTTTTTTTTTCATTTTTCTCATTTGAGATTGTTATTCCTAAGAGATTTGCACCAGATGATGAAAAATTAAAAATTCTCTCTATATTCAAACATTCTCACTACATTGAAAATCTTTATTTTTCGAATCATCAATATGCTAATTTGCACTAGTCCTTATTGCTCATTATCTAATCTTCAACAAATATATAATATTATTATACAATATAATATTATATACAATATATATTATATAAACAATTAATTATAGACAATATAGACAAATAAATTAATCCTAATATCGATATTCAATATTAATTTCTTCTATAATAAAATATTCGAAATAAAAATTTTGAATATTTCTCATTTAAATTGTAATAATTCAAATCCTTTCATCGCACAATGTCAAAAATCATCGGTTTTCAAACATTTCTCGCGTGAAAATAATCCACAACAAGTATGTATCAAATCACATCGACGATTTCAATTTCACAAATACAAACAATATTAAAACGTGTCATCATAGAACGTGTAAAACATCATAGAACTTCTTTATAATCCTTCTTTGTCCATTCGAAACTTCATAAATCGAGGCTTCGATTACAAAAAATCGCACAAACTGCATCGAAACGTGCCATGGTTCATAGTTGGATGCTGTTAGGTTATCAATCCGGAGACAAAACTGATTCGAGTTGAATCCACTCGACCAATCACGAGAATCATTTGGCTGCCAATTTTTCGTCGACAAATCTCCATCCACGGCGATGATCGTTCTCCTTTTTCGTTTTATTCCCGGTATTTTCGCTCGCCGGCCAATCCGGATCCCCGTTTCGTTTAGAATTATCGTTATCCGCCTCGAGAGCAGACGTTTTTCAACGTACACACGAGTTTATCTTTCTGTCCGCGTATTTCCAATTTCAATGTTTAAACAAAAACGGTATTCGCGTCTCGTTGTCCAGATAGACGCCCCTTGTTATTTCAGACGCATTCCAGGGGAGGACAAATATCGGCGATTTGTCGTTCGATACGTTTCAACCTGTTTTATTTCTACACTCCGTTTTGTGCGACGCGTAGAATTAATTGTAAGAGAACGCGATAAAATATTCATAGAATAGACGATACAGCGAGGAATATATAGTACAGGAAATTCAATCGATAAGAGATTAAATTTAATTAAAATTTAAAGTAATTATAATCATTATAGTTATCAATTCAGTGAAGTTTTAATAAAATTTAATTGAACGTGCACTGATTCGCATTTTTATTAAACTTTGAATTGACAATCTGGTGTGTAGATTTGTTGAATGATCGATTTATTGATTCGTACAATTGAATATATTGATCTTTGTTTCATTCATTTGATAATAAGAATATCTATTTGTCTAATTTTACTAATTTGATTAAAAGTATTTAAATAAATAATTTTAAAATTTTTAAATAAGAATAGAAATTTAAATTCAAACTTGTTATTCCATATTTTCAATTTATTCCTATTCGAGAAACTGTTTTATTTTTTTGCTTTTGGCGCGATATTTTATATAAAACTCTCAAATTATTGTGAAGCCAGATTTTTCATCCATTGTGTATTTGAAATTTTATTATTCGAAACTTTCACAAATATATATTGTGTAGTTTCAAACGATCAATGTTTCATTCATTCAAGCAACAAAATTGCTTTATATTATATCAAGAAACAATAGGAGAAACATAAGTTTCTTCATCAAAAGATCGCACATCTTCGTTAAAGATGCGATTCATCGTGTTGGAAACAGAATTTCTTCTGCAAGAAGAATTTAGCGTTTGTTTCGATGCGTGTTTCGTTATTGTCACAACGTTGAAATACATCAATGATTCATGAAAATTTCACCAATTTGTGTTTGCTCGACGTAACAATACGAAGTTAGAACGAGAATGTTGGTTGCACGTCTTTAAACATCGCCCTTTGAGACAAGCCCTTTTTCTTCTATTCAAAAGAACCTGACTTCTCGAGAGAATAGTTCAAAGTAAAGAGTACGTTTGTGCCTTTGCGAAAGGAAAGATTTTTGAAAAATTTCTTTCATTTCTCTTACACGACATAACTCGATAAGTATATATCAAGTTTTCTACACGAAGGAAGTGACAAGTATAATATAATATTTCGTTTACGAAAAAACGTGTAACGATTGAACGAGCTATAAAATGAAAAAAACGAACGACAATTTTTTTTTAATTTTATTAATTCGAGATTTTAACTATTCCAAAAATAGCAACCGATTAAAATTTCAGACTTAGTCATATTGATTTACACTTTCCCCTAACCTATTATTTATTTTACTTAAATACAAAACCAATAATTTCGAAAAAAAAAACCTCTTTTAAATTAAATATATTATTTTTGTCTACATTATACAACGAATACCAATCTAAATTCCATTCGTTTTTCAATATACACTTTCACCATAAATTTCACACACTACAATTTTCGATTAAAACCAAGGAACAAGAATGCCTTGACGGATTTCCCTCATTAATTAACATTCTTCGTCTTCGCGATGTCGATGCACGCATTCTTCCTTCCATTCCCTCGTAAATCCTTCCGCCACGTTTTCTATCATCCCTCCCCCCACCATTGAAAGCGAGAATCGCGTTTCCAGAAAAGTTGTTCCACCCCGACACGAAAATTTGGCAAATCGTCCCTCGATCGAGATTCGCCGTTCCCTTCAATTTGTCGCGCATAAATTCGTGAAAGTGGAGATTCGCGCGAGCCAGCCTGCGCCGACGAGAAATTTTTCGGGATCGATCGATCGGCCGCTTCCGATATACCCTCGAGTGACGCATCGACGAGATTCGATCGTCGAGGAGATTTCGGATGCAAGACCGAACGATAAAACCGCGCATCAATCTCGATAGACTTTGAAAAGGATAGACGTTTATGGGAAAGCAGCAGGGGAAGATCGATATACGTATGTATGTATGTTTGTTTGTATGTATCGCTTTATCAGTGTGGATGATGGAGTATATATTATATATTTGTTTAAAAATTCGTAAAGATTAGGTAAGAATTAATTCAATGTTAGTAGCACGTGTGTTGATAATTTTAAGAAACGAGAAATGCAATTTGAAATTTATGATTTATTAATGTCAATTAATAAGAAAACGTGTACAAATAATATAGAAAATATTATTAAAACACACTCGTAAAGTAGAGGAAATCATGCCATTGAATCTCTTTTTTGTTCTATTTCGATATCTTAATTCGTTCGATATATAGATTTGTATAAAGATTCAAAGTGTGCATAATATGCATTTAACACAGTTTCGTTGGAATTATAAATAAGTCAATGACTCAGTGACCTATATTTTTTCCTCAAAAATACTATTTGTTTTTTCAGGAATCGCGAATTTGTCCAGAATTTGGGATAGGTCAGTGAGACAAGGTGCGAGCGAGAGTAAGCAACAAGGGTAGAGATAGTGAATAGATTAAAAATTACCATTTTCTCTACACGATGATATCTCAAGAACCAGAAGTCGTATCGAGATAAATAAAAAAACATCTTAAAGGGTAAGATTCTGCGTTTCTAATGATCGTTCGTACGTTGATTAAAAGTCATTATCTTCGAAGTTATAGCGGTTCAAAGATTTCCTAATTTTAATCGAGTTTTGAAACAAATTACGCAACTGTTCGTGTTCAAATCATGTAAAAGTGAAAAAAAAAGATGATCAAAAGAAGGTATATATAATACCTTAGATCTATAAAATAATAGAACTGTTCCTATGTCTGCACGTACGTTTATCTGACATTTATCTTTCGAATGCAGCCAATCGAATCTTCCAAACTTCTTCCAAACAGAGTTTCTCCAAAAACAGATTCCTCGACACGAGGGTATAATCCTAAGTACAAAATCGAGAAAGTTTCGAGCAAAGTTTCGGACGTTGAATTTATATCCAACCGTATACATCGCAAAGATATTATATTAAAAAAAAAAAAAAAAAAAATAAAAGAAAAATGAACAACTTCTATCTTAAAGAAGATATATCTTAAAGAAATCTTGCATTTTTCTCGTTCAACGTTTTTCTCTAGTCCTCCGTACATCAAATCAACCTCGACGTATTCCTTTAAGAAAGTACGCTCTCGACGTTTTTATAGACACGAAGAAATATTTAGGTCGTAAAGATACCGAAACTCGAAATCGCTTCTTTTCTTCGGGCTTGAAAAACTTAGATCCAAGTTTTGAAAATTACCCTTGGGCATCGAGCGCGCATTTACGAGCGTGCTCGTAAAAAAAACAGTTATTGTCTCGTGACTGCAATATTCACGAATGCATTATCCTTTGACGAATTTCAGTCGAATCCGATGAAATTTTCCAATCGATACCGATTATTTTGAAACTTTTATCCTTTGTAGAACCATCATCTTGATTTGTTTTTATCGCGAATCTGGTGCAACGTGAAAAATTAACTGATTTTCCACGATGTTCAGAAATTCTTCAAAAACGTTACACAGTTGATGAATTAATCTCGAATGGCTATAATTTTCTTCCATCTAGTTCGAGCTCACACATGCACCGAGTCAAAATCGAAACTCGGCCGACACGATCGAACAAATACGATAACAGACGGCTAACGATTTAAAAGTTCTCTAACCAACCCTTGGGACAGATCAATTCTCGAAATTGAGAGCTATTGACGGAACAATCTCCGCGTGAACGATGATGTCCTCTCGGGAATCTGGTTCACGCTTCGAATTTAATCCTTCGAATTGTCTAATGGCGATTGATATAATGTAATATAATGTTTGATATTCTTGCGAATATGGAGAAAAGTTTAAAAGCGTAATTAGTAAGAAAAAAATTTTACAAAGAAAAGTAATAGTGAGATAATAATTTGAATATTTTTATTTTTATTAAAATATAATTAAGTCGCTTTATGCACGAGGATGATGAAAAAATAAATTTTACTCGAGCAAACAACGGACCTTCAAAGTTTCAAGTGAACAAATTTTATTTTTTCCTTTCCTTTCTTTTTCACGAAACCTTGTGTTAAAAGGATGGACGCGAAAACGCGATAACATTTGAAATATCGAAATTACTTAATTACACTGTCCTCTACAATGCCACATAAACTTCTAAATTTTAATTAATAATCGCGCAAACTTTTCCGCGAGTGATTTAACTAAAAATAAAGGTAGTGTCGTGGATGTTCCAACAACTGGCTTGTTGAAGCAAGTTGAAGCAAGTTAAAATGTAGGAAACTTGTTTTTTACGAGACCGGTTGGAAATTCGAAGGGGGGACGATTTAAAAACTTTGTATCCGACCTAGAAAACTGGTAGAACTAGCTTTAACGTCCCATACAGAAAAGTAAATTACCAAGTCGAAATGTCATGACTGCCCCCTCGCCCAGTTTGATATTTGTAAAACATTACTTGGACGAGAAGGCTCGTGTGTTTGAAAAAAATTTAATTAAACTTGGACAGGCGTTGAGAAGAATTGTGAATCTTTTAGCAAGATTATAGGTAATATTGAACTAGTTCCATTAATCATCGTGTCTAGAAACTTTTCCATCTATCAGTCGCCATCAGTCAAAGGAACAATCTTGTGCGTGTGCAACTTCTGCGTTTGCATTTAGATAATTTTCCTGGATAATGATGAAGTAATAAATAAGTATAATGATGTATATGATGGAGTATCGCTTTTAGAACGAGAAATACAACGTTAAAGTTCGTTGTTAAAGAATCTGTTCATCTATCTATCTACATTCTGTCTGAAAAATTATTTTATATCTGAAGAATTCATTTTATTATCAATACTTTAATTAGCTTCTTTTATATAACGATATTGTAAAAATTTATCCGTTTATTATATTAATAACGAAGAAATATATTTTAAACAAAATGAATGATTTCGTGGAATTTTTACGAATACGAATAATTTAAATCAATAATCCAATATCTTTTCAACAGAATGCGTAGAAGCGTAGCAAGCTTATGATAAAGAATATTCAAATATTTCTATTATTATTCGTCTTTCTCTCGACCAAAGCATAAATCCTGCAAAGACTAAAATTACTATCATTTTTCCAATATTCTACGATAAAACGGTGAAATTAATTAAATCATTTCAAAGTCCTTCTTCCATGATTTGGACTTTCACATGATACAGCTAATATAATACATATACAAATAACAACAAGCCATTTGGCATTCTAAAAACTTAATAACTTCGAGGAACCTGGTTCGTGAAACATAAACAGTTTACATAATTGTAGAAAAACTTCGATTCAGAATAATCCTATTGGCATAGAATATGAAAGACCTTGTTATTCTCGCCAGCCTCTGTTTGCCGAACGAAAATTATTTTTCAGTCGTTTCCTTCCTCGAATCTCGTCTCTTCTCGACGAGATATCAAACTGTTGGAACCGGAAGGCTATTAACAGAAACGGCAAACAGATATCCAAAGTCAGATTTCATTGTTGGCCAAATGTCGGAACGAGAGGCGAGAAACGAAAACAACATTTCTGGTTTGGAAAATTGCCACTAAAAATGGACACGTTTTTGGCGAGGATAATCGCGAATCCGACATTATTTTCAACGTCGAGGACCGACGTACTTGCTCGATCGTAAGAGAATCCGTGTCGCTGGAAGAGGCATACGACTCTGAAATTCCCGTTCAACTCTCGACGACGGTGAAAATATTCTCTCGCCAATTTTGTCGTTCGGAGAAAATAATTCGAGACGCTCTCCACGTCTGGTAATTAAAAAATTAATCCGAGAATTGGATCGTTATTTATTATTAATTAATTAATCCCGTCGACGGGTCGTCTTGTGATTCTATTCAAAAGTTATTCGAAGATATTTCATCGTTCGGTCAATGTCTTTTTGCGTTCGAAGGATCCAGTTAATTTATATAACGTCGATCTACCGCGTCAAGAATCGCTACCAGGATCATCGTTATGGATATAATCCCATTGACGGATATTTTCATTGTGAAATTTAATTTTTTGATAGAGGATTATTAAGAGAAACAAAATTCGCTGTAGCGTGTTTACTCGACGATCATCGTTTCAGTTTTCCTCCTTCCTTTTGTAGCCGTCCGATTTAACACGTCCATCCATCTTGCCGTGTTATCGATTCGATGCACAACACCCTCTCCCTGGCTTGCCTCCACATGGACCAATGAGCGTCGAATTGTATTATCCTCGCGTGTATCCAAATGTGTGTTTTCTACAAATACACGTGGAACGAATTTTCGTGGAACGTCATCATTTTTTAAGAATTTTTTACAATTTTTTCTTTTTCACCGTATTATCGACGATACAGAACGAAATGTTAAATTTATAGCAAAATGTGAAAATGTGGAAGTTTTTTTCACTCGCATTTAATATCCTTTTCTCCACGTGTATCGTTGCAAATATGTATCTGAAATGATACGAGCGCATAGTTCTGAAAATTTTTCGTTGAGCGAGTTTGAAAGTAATATTGTAACGGAATATTGAATATTCTCTACGAACAACTAGCCGAGTTCACTGTCTCAGGTTACTTTATATATAGTTGCTTCTAGTGGAAAATTAAATTGCTTATAACTTGAAAAACAAGTCTCGACTTATATTTTTGTACGACAACTTTATCTTTATCTTGATATCCAGAACTGATATTCTTCAAAGGATCAATATTTCACAGATATACTTTACGTTCGATGATAATAGAATTCGATCAATTTGATCCCGTTCGAAGTCGAACAATATCAACAAAATCAATTCTACATAGACAACTAGTATAATTAAACGCAGTTTATTAGAATTAAAATACTTTCCTCCTTCATAAGAATTTCTTTCTCTTAATAAATCGTCTTTTGATTAATCCTCTCGTAAATATATTTTTCATAATCCATAATCAAAATCATTTCTTTCGCACAATTATAATTTAAAATAACTGCCAATACAATTCATTTCCACTCAATTCCATTATTTTATTTTACCACGAAAACTCTTTCCCTTGAATACGAATAAAATGAAAGATTAAAATTTCCTCTTTTCCAATCTAAAATAAAAAAATCAAGATTCATCACAGTTCATTTTACGCGAAAAATCGGGCCTCGGCCAGAAAGAAGGGAAAAGTTGAAGCGGAAACGAATGGTTTGAAACCGTGTCGAGAGAATCTGGATCTTTCAAATCGATATATTCATCTTCATTCGATTCCTCGATTCTCGGTTGAAAAGCGTATTCGTATCGGTTACGAAGGCTCGGATATCGAATCCATCGAGTCGTTACTTTTTTAACCGGCGACGCGGAGGATCGGTCTGAACGACGAGTTTGTTTACGGAGACATCACGTTATTCACGGGTTCTTCGTTCGCGTGAAACACGGAAATACAGGCATTGTTCCCTTCGGAGACGGCGGCAATAACAACTGAACACTCGGTGACCTTGCTATTATGCGGTGGAGTAATAATATGTCTTTGTCTAGGTCATGGTTGTATATCACGTGGGGCAATAGAATTAGCGGAATCCGAGGAATTAAGACTGCGCATTAATCACGGGATGAATAGGAGAGCGAGATCGTGGTTT